GTGTGTACGAAGCTCCACACATCATAGCAGCCCATGGATCGCTCCATGTCTGAATGGATGAGGTTAAGGCGGAAGTATAAGTTCCCCAGGAAGAGAAGGGCTAGAGGAATCTTAGTGTTGCTATAGAGCTTGACAACCAAAGGAAACACCAGGGGATTAATGCTCTCGGCAGGGTTACTAGGTAGAACAAAAAAGAAGATAAAATAACTGACAAAGGCGACCAAGTACAAGTCGCCGCGGTAGCCCGGCCCAACTACAGAGTCGCGGCTCTCCTTTGTGATGTCGCCTACAACTGGTTGTAGGTCCTTAAAGAAATGCTTCAGCCAGGAAAGATAGGTGGTTTTGTCTCTCTTAGGTTTCTCCTGGAACAGTTCCCCAGTCCTAAGGTTATACCAAGAACCATACTTCCACGCCTCCCGAAAAGCACTTTGGAGGGCAGTGACGGCAACTTGCTCTGCGAGAGTCATGGACACTAGATCAAAGGGGTGGTCTCCACGGGTGCTTAAACATAGAAGGATGACAACATCTTCGAGAGTTGGAGTTATCTCTCCCCATGCCAAGGCAAAAGTGTGAGTGTCGTGGCTCTAGTAGGAGACAACCATATCAGTGTTGGTTTGTACCTTGCACACTAATAACTCTCTCGAAATCAAAATGGCATTAAAAAGACGGATATCTCGCAAGTGTTGCTCGAAGCCACCATCTGCAATGATGTCATTGACCCAGAGGGACCAATCTGCTGGAGGGCCCGAATGAGTGCGATAGTAGATGTATGAATGTGGAAAGTCGCTACGCTCCACGCGAAACCGCAACACCGAGACTGGGTTTACCATATCCACATCATCCAAAGTGGCCTCCCCAAAAGGGAGCAGAGGCTCCTCCAGAAGAAGGACATCAGGAATGAAGGAGTCAACTGCCTTCCAAAAGGGGTCAGCCAGCCCTCCAAAGTATGGAGCTCTCATTCACTCAGTAGCGGGTGGAGCAGCCCTGTCGGGTAGAAATCTTGTGCTGGCCATGAGGAAGAGTAAAGAAAGGTAAAGAAGACTTTGGAAAGTGGGGACAAAGGAGACAAGGAGACAAAAGGCGTGTTGGGCAGAAGTGGGGAACCAGTGGACCCAAGGGCACTATTTATAAAGGAAGTAGCACAAGGGCACCAACACGCCTCCCTAGGCCCATTATGACCTGTCAGTCAAGGGGGGCACCTTTTCAGAGCCGATGCAACTTCTGACCCAACCGACGCAACCCTTAGGTTACTTGTTGATGTCATGCACGCTTGGAAAACCAGGAGTGTGTTCCTCATGAGTGCAGGGGGCAAATGTAAAGGGTCAGAAATTAAGCCCCAAACTAAGTATGGGCCTAAGCACTGAGGTCGTCCCAAAGAGGTGACCAGAAATGAAAAAGAAGCGTGGGCAAAAGCCCAAGGGAAGTAGGCCAATAGTAGGCCGAAGCAGGTCCGACCCACTAGGGGTCCAAATGGACTCCACGAAGGAAAATGCCTAAGTCCAGTTACAGAGGCAATACCTGCAGCGGTGAAGTTACGGAGGGAACAAATGTAGTGGGAAAGTTGCTGAGGCACTTTGCCTCAGCGCCACCATTCCTAATATCTTCGGTTCTGCCGCCATCTGAAGTTGCTGAGGGAAAGACAGGAAAGAGAAAGCCGACGTAACTAAGTTGCAGAGGTAACACTTGCAACGGCCAAGTTGCAGAGGCACTTTGTCTCAGCGCTGCCATTCCAAGTAATGTCGGTACCACAACCATCTAGAGTTGCTAAGGGAAGGAGAAAACCGAAGCAACTAAGTTGCAGAGGCAGTACTTGCAGTGCCCAAGTTGTGGAGGCATTATTTCAGTGCCGCCATCTCTAATATTCTCGGTTCTGCCGTTTAGACTTGCCGCGGGAAATGGTTATCGCAGCAATTACGACTGTAGCAACTAAGTTGCCGAGGGAATATCTTACCAAGGTGATAACAGCCTTTGAGAGACACCTCTCCTTACAACTAGAGGCTAATGCTTGGCGCTGATAGCAAGCTCCAAGGCATTATTAGCCCGGGGTTGATAGCAGGCTCCTCCTCTCCAAAGTTCATTCAACTTGGCGCTGATAGCAGGCCCCAAGACTTACTGGTTGGAGCTGATAGCAGGCTCAAAGATACCAGTTTACTGCGGCAATCCCGCGAAGATGGAAGCACGGTAGCCCGAACATAAGGGACTCAATTTCTATTACCAAGGTCATGGACCTGCCTTAAGTCGCACAGGTAGGACTAAAGAAGTCCCCTTGGGCTTGGTACTAAGGCACAGCGTGGCTGATAGCAGGCTTGGCTGTGGCCTTCACCCAGGGAAGCTGGGGAGTTTGTGGTTAGGTGTCTAAGGGTGGAGGCTTCGCTGAGGTGAACACAAACGTAGTCGATAGCACAGAGTCCTGAGAATGTATGTACTAGCTAAATAGGACAGAGAAAGCAAGTGCAGCGGCAAGGTTCACTGCTGCAAGTGCACTTGCTGAGGTTCAGGCTGAGAAGGCAAGTGCAGAGGCAAACACTCCCACCGCAACTACACTTGCTAAGGATCAAAAGGTAGTTGCGGAGGCAAACAGATAGTACACAGTACATGCAGAGGGACACGTGGCACCTTCAGCCTGGTGGCTCAAGACAGAATATTCTATGTGATCCTCTAGGACACATGTCTTCTCTCTATTTGGCCACTTGGTGTCCTCTTAGTACTAAGGAAAAGCCTATAAATAGGACCCATTTCCCAAGGTTCAAAAAGATGAATTTTTGGGAATTTGGGGGAGATGCTGTCCATTTTGGCACTGTCAAACATTTCTTCTTGAGCCATTTGCTTCACCCTCATCCATCTACACACTGTCCAACTCCCATACAGTTACTGCTACTCATTCTCCAGCCACTTTCACCATTATTGGACTATTGACATAGTTTCACCTCTCTAATCTTGATCCCCCCCAACAATGGTCGTATAATTTTCCAAGTTAACATCGCCATTGTATTCGTCATGCTTGACAATTTTAAAAAATATATATATATATATATATGAGTTTGTTTATACTATAAATTTATCTAATCCAGATATATAAGAAAAGATGCAATGCTCTTTGGTTTCGTTCGTCCCAAGCAAGTGTCTAGTTTTATAATTCATGCTGTATATTGTATATATACTTTTTGATTTTATTCGATCCACACAAAACATCCTAAGAACTTGTTTGGGAAGCATAAAAAAATTAATTTTTTTAGTACTTCCCAAAACAAGTCTAAATATGCCTACTGTGAACCAATACCATGGTCTCCAACACCACAGTCGAGTTGAATCATTCAACTTGAGAGAAGCTTAGTCACTACATTAATAAGTATTACATGTTTTCTTTGTCTCAAAGAATAAGAAAATTTATTTGTCTTGTATTTAAATTAGATGGGTGGCGGGGAGGTGCATACATCAATTATACTAATTTTATTTTTTAAAATATTTTTGTTCCTATTTCTTCTTCCTCCTACTTAATTATTCACAAGTGGGTTTTCCATTATGGATCAAAAGATGTATTTTCTAATGTGTGGGCTTCATCTCCATACGGAGTTGACTTTTGTTGGCCAAGTCCTCATCGTTGGCCAAGTCCTCATCGTTGCAATTCTCACCCTTGTTGAAAAAGGACTAGGCCAGTAATTTAGAAGAACTACTTCACTTCTCATTCTTTTAGAAATTAAATTAAGGCTCAAAGAATCAAAACTAGCGGAAATGATATATATATATATATATATACTTGTAAATTTTCAATTCGACTAGAAGGGAAAATATTTGCTGACAAACCCATGGTGGAGATGGGAACAGAGTGATGGCTTGTGAAGAAGATTTCAACAACGGTGGCGTGGATCGCCGACGGGGCTGGTGGTCTTTGGCCATCGCGGAAGCTTCGGCTATGGTGGAAGAGAAGAGAAAGGTGAAGAGCAAGAGAGAGAGGCCAATCGTTCTTCGCTCGCTATGGTGGAAGAGAAGAGAAAGTTGAAGAATGGTGGCCCCGACGCTTGACCGTTGGACTTCAACAATCGCTGCAGCTTCGGCTATGGTGGAAGAGAGGAGGGAGGAGAAGAGGAGCAAGAGCACGAACCAGACAAGAGAGGGAGGCAACTGACTTGGGACTCTTGGAATTCTGATTACTTTGCTTGTTTGGCAACCGGTTACGCCGGTTGTCAATTCAAAATTAAATTATTAAATTAATTTAGTTATATGATAGTTATGAGATAATATGGTATATATAAATAACTAAATATAACTAAGTTATGAGTTAATATGAGAATAGTTATGATTTATATGATATTAGTTATGATATCAAATCACACAATCTCATAACTGATGTATGGTACATCCAAATGTACCATAGCATCACCCTATAGACATTAGGAAGTGGTCAGCAAAAACGAAGAATCCAGTACAGAAATTCAAATTCTAGTCTACATAGTAAAAGTACTTGCAAATCCATATGCAAAAGTATCTAGCTATTTTTCCACCAAGATTGTAGCTCTGTTAGCTTTAAAGATACATATGCAGTGTCAATATGCTACGGCACACGCGCGCGCACACAAAAATAGTAAAAGTAAGGGACCTCAACAAACCTTGACTTGTTTTTCATTAGCATATTTTCTTTGGATAAAAAAGTGAGTAGTATCCTCAATGGAAATAGAAGTGCAAGTAGTTCCATTAGTTTTAGTATTGTAATTATAATGCAATTTATAGACTTTCCATCACAGAAAGAATAATGTTCTTACATAGTATTTAGCTGAGAGAGGAAAACACTGCCTTGCAGTGGGAGATTCATTAACCAACCATTTTAACTACCTATAAGAACATGAGTAATTGCTTGTTCAAAGCATCGACAGTAGAAATTAAAGGATTACCCATCTATGAGAGCAATGCAAAATTTGTATCTCTGGGTTACTTGGTAATTTGATCTTGTCCAACCTCATCAAATACTGAAAGCACAAGATCTTCTAGTATGCTAAATCAAATGAAAGTAGTGTGAATCATATCATTACTATCAATCAAATCAGGCTTTTCTCAATTAAAAACAAAAACAAAAAAATCTCTTCTTTATTTCGAGTATAACATGAAGAGAACATTCCCCCCAAGCAAACACAACATCTAGAGATTGAAAGGTAAAAAGAAAAAAAGAGAAAAATAAAAAAGTTGATCCCCAAAGAGAAAAAAAGGAATTGTGGAACAGTATGTGACAACACTCCAATCAAACAGTCTTCTAGAGATTTACTGAGCCTCGAGCTTCTTTTTGCGCTCCAACATGAAGTCATAGACCTTGTGTTGGTCAAGAAGAGTGTTTGAAACACACTCCTTCTCCATGCACCTATGAGCCCAAGCAACAAGTTTAGGGCACTCTGTCACCACGCTGAAGTTGCCAAACTGCTCAAACGAATAGAAAAATGTGTAGAATGGGATGAGTGCCACATCCACAAAGCCAAAGGTCTCACCTCCATAGTAAGGCTTGTCTCCAAGCTCTCCTTCCAACAGCTTAAAGCAGCCTAAGAGATCATTCTTTGCCAATTCTAGGGCTGCACCAGTGGATGTAAATAGCAGCTTTCCAAGGCTATATACCTGTAGAATGTACCATATGTAAATGTTGGTGCAAAGACACATGTCTCCAAGAGATCACTCTGTTCCAAAATACTCACGGTAGTTAAATCATACAAAAATTTTGGGGCACAACACAAGAATGTATAATCTAATATTTATTAGTTCCTTTGTCCTCTGTCCCTTCCTAATGCAATCTCAATTGTACAATATAACAAAAATCTTAAAACACAAGAACGCATTAGAACAGAGGACAAGAATTCTGTGGTGATAGAAAATCTCGTACCATATTTACTATATGCATTAAGGAAAACTCCATTAAGACATAAAATTCATACAAAAATTTTACAAGAATGATGTGGTAATGTATTTTTTTTTTGGTACAGATGGACATATGGAAGAGTTTAGCACTCACCTTCTTGTCAATATAATCAACCCAGAACCTGGCATGCGCTCTCTGGTAAGGATCAGAAGGCAGCAAAGGAGATTTGTGGTTCCAGACTTCATCCATGTACTGAACAATGATGAGTGACTCGCACACCGGTTTACCATTATGGATCAACACTGGGATTTGCTTGTTAACAGGGTTCATCTTCAGGAGTACTGGGCTCTTGTTGCTCAGGTCCTCTTCCCTGGATTCATATTCTATCTCTTTCTCAGCCAAGGCAATTTTCACCCTCGTTGCAAAGGGGCTAAGCCAGGAGCCCAAGAGAATCACTTCGTCGGCCATTGATGATATCTCACAAATCAGAGAAGATCAAAGATTGAACTAAGATTGAAGAACATAGAATGAAAATCCTAGAGAATTATGTTTCAGGTGTTTGTTTGTGTGATCAAGAGAGGAGGTTGGAGACACTTCTTATAGAAAAAACTTTTCATGGGCAATTCAAAGATGGTCGGACAATTTTGCAGGTCAATTTGCAAGTCAATTTCTATTATTTTGGGAAGGAAGGATTAATTGTCATTGTGTGCGTCATGATTGAGTATCTTTTGAGCATCAGCATATAATAGCATCTCCAAAAATGCTTGTGACCCCTTCTTTGGGATCCCATAATCTTTTTAAATCTCAATCATTGATGTATGGATGAGACTCATTCATGTATGTGTGAAACTCACACTATCAATGGTTGAGATGCAAATTCATGTATGTGTGAAACTCACACTATTAATGGTTGAGATGCAAAAAGACTTGTAGGGTGCTCAAAAAAAAGGTCTCAATCATTATTGATAACATGTCCCATAGAGAGAGTTCTACCTACCTAGGGATAATTCTATTTACACGCCACCACTTAAAAAATAGAAGTAAAAAAATGACTAAAATTTTAAGGTTTGGTCTATCAGAATTCACTTCCTAAAAAATTGAAATTTTTTATTTTTTTTATTTTTACTGAATTTTTTTAATATTTTAAGCATTTTTTTAAATTTTTTTTAGATATACTTAACATAAATACACTTAAAAAGTATAATATTTATGGAAAAAAATCTTTAAAAAATTGATTAAATACCAAAAATACAAAAATTCAATTCATTTTCGTATTCTTGTGTATTTATTAGTTTTTAAAATATTTTTTTTATAAATATTTTACTTTTAGATACATCTAAATAAGGTGCATCTAAAAAAGTAAAAAAATTACTTAAAATTTTAAAAATATTCACGGAAAACAAAATACTTGATTTTCAGAAATTTAAATCTAGAAAATTGAAACCAAACACTGTGAATATTTTTTATTTTGGGTTTAGACAACCTTCAAGGACAGTTCGGTTGTTAGTAAATAATAAGAAAATTAGTTGTAAATACACAAATGTTGTGGGATTGTCATCTCCTCCTCCACATTTCTCTAACTGAAGGAGGAAGTGGTCAGCAATTGGCTTAGATGCTGTGTATATTATTATAGACATTATTTGCAAGTGGGCAGGAAAAACCATGAATCTAGTCCAAAAATACAAATTCTAGTCTACATCCACAACTAACAAAATATACATATATTAATGAAATACAATAAAAAAAAATGAAAATGGCTCTAATCAATGACATAATCAAAGTAATTACACTTCTATATGCATTCAAAAGTATCTTGATATTAAAAAGGAAAAAAAGGTATTTTCTTTATTTTAAGTGTAACATATGAGAACATTTCACCTAAGCAAACACAACATCTAGAGATTGAAAAAAGAGAACTGTGAAACAGTAGGTCACAAGACTTCAATCAAACAATCTTATAGTGATTTACATAGACTGGAGCATCTTTATGTGCTCCAACAAGAAGTCATAGACCTTTTGTTGGTCAGGAAGAGTCTTTGACACACTCTCCCTTTCCATGCACCTATGAGCCCAAGCAACAAGTTCACCACCATGCTGAAATTGCCAATCTGCTCATATGTATAGAAAAAGCAATAGTATGGGATCAGTACCACATCCACAATCCCAAACGTCTCACCTCCGTAGTAAGGCTTGTCTCCAAGCTCTCCTCCCAACACCTTTAAGCACTCTATGAGGTCATTCTTCACTACTTCTTTGGCTTCGCCTATGAGGTCATTCTGTACAATATACCATATGTAATTGAGGGTAAGAAGGCCCAAAATTTCAGCCGAGCATCTTATTTCTAGACAAAAGGATCTCAAGTTTAATTCAATGATTGTAAATATTTTGGGTACATTAAGAGTTTAGAGACAAAAGACCATATGGCCGACCAATAATTATTAATACTCCTTTGTCCTTTAAACGCAATTTCAATTGCAAGATATAATAGAAATTTTAGAACACAAAGAACAGAACATAACACATTGGAGCGGACGAAAAAAGTTTGGGAATAGAAAATCTCATTTATACAAACAAGTTTATATATAATGATACCTCTTATTTATATTCATTAATTACAAATAAAAAAATTCATTAAAATAAAAGGAATTTGCTGTATGACTTTCTCCAATGAAATTTGCTATACGACTTTCTTTGGATCGGCTCAACTTTTAAAAGGAATCATGTATCCACCCCCGCTAGGATGTCCTCTCTAGAGACAAAGAGACAAAAAGAGAACTAATGAAACAATATGTCACAAGACTTCAATCAAACAATCTTATGGTGATTTACTTAGCCTGAAGCTTCTTCATGATCTCCAACAAGAAGTCATAGACCTTGTACTGGTCAGGAAGGAAGAGCCTTTGACAAACTGTCCTTTTTCAAGCACCTATGCGCCCGAACAAGTTTAGGGCACTCTGCCACCATGCCGAAATTGCCATTCTGCTCAAATGTATAGAAGAAGCTATAGAATTGGTTCAGTGCTACATCCACAATCCCAAATATCTCACCCCCAAAGTAAGGTTTGTCTCCAAGCTCTCCTCCCAACACCTTAAAGCACCCTACAAGGTCATTCTTTGCTTCTTCTTTGGCTTTACCTGTGGATAAAAATAGTGGCCTCACAAGACTATATATCTGTACAATGGCTTTGTTTGGGAAGCGGTGCAATAGGCTATTGTAGCCTCTTTTTTGAAAATAGCCAAAAAGCCTCCTGTTACTGAGGTTGTGTACAACTGGGTTGCACTAACCTTTAAATGTTTGAACTTGTCATAACTCTTCAACCCAACTATCATAACTCTCCAACCCATCTTCCATCATCTCTCTTATCTCACATCTTTCACTTACCAATTGCAGAAAGAAGACTCTCTGTCACAGATCCCTCTCCGGTAGAGCTCTCCTTTCCAGACCACGCGATCAGCGGATCTCTCTCCGTCAGCACGCATTCATTTTCCTGTTGGAACAGTACATGGACACATGTAGGGGCAGTTTGGTAATTTCATATGAAATCCTAGTTTTTCCAATACAACCATTTAAAAAAAAATTCAACCCATCTTTTCAAACACAAACTAAAATGGTCAAAAAGTCAAAAAAATAGCCACATCCCAAACAAGGCCAATGTGCAATCTCAATTGTAAGATGAAAAATCATATAGAAGTTTATTTTTTATTGATTGATAATTAGAGAAAATATGAAAGAGAATTGCCTTAGATATTCTAATAACGGCACATTATTGGAAAAAAAATGGGTCTTTCTTTTGAGCTAAAGTATCACTATTCTTATATGATATAATAGAATTTTTAAAACACAAGAATACATTGGGACAGAGGATAAAAAATTAAATAATCTCATGCCATATTACTATATGCATTAATGTACTGATGATAACGAAGATATACAAACAAATCAATACATAATGATATCTCTTATTAGCATCCATCGACCACAAACCACAAATCTATTAAAATAACTTATTATTGAGGATGATGATGTCTCACAACTCTGTGTGAACATCAAAGATTGAATGAAGAACAGAGAAGGAAATTGTGCTAAATAAATTGTCTTTCAGGTGTTTGTTTTTATGCCAAAGAGAGTAAGAGTAAGTTTGAGAGACAATTTATAGGGAAAACTTTTTCTGGGTGAAGTGGGTAAAAATTAATCAAGTCTTGGTGCTAGGTCCAATGCGATGCTCACTCCGAGGTTGAGCTAGGTTGGACCTCGGCCCTATGGCCAACACTTGCTCCAAAGTAAGACAATCATAGGAGCTCGGCCCAATGTACGAATGTCACTCCAAAGTGGGCCGAGCAACATGGTGGACCTCCTGGATGGGTAGCCAACCACTCCGAAGTAGGTTGAGTAACATGTTGAACCTCCTGGATGGACAGACAACCACTCCGAAGTGGGCTAAGCAACATGTTGAACCTCCTGGTTGGACAACCATTTCGAAGTAGACCAACTTAAAGAAGGCCAATTCACTGGAGATCTTTCTTGGGCCCACAAGAGACAAACAACTCTGCTCCTCTCCCACTGTGTGAACAGAACGTGGAGACATGGAGGTGCAGAGGAACAAGGCGCACGCATGACAGACCTGCATCTGAGTGTCAGGTGAGTGGTGTCCTCCTCCAATAAGAAATGACCGCTAATGAGACAAACAAAACAGACTTGCACCCGAGTATCAGGCGGAGTGGTCGTCCTCCTCCAATGGGAGACGACCACGAATAAGACACATTGGACAGATGGCGGAAAGAAAAAGTCCTGGAGGGCAAGCAATATTCTCCTATAAAAGGTAAGCACTATTCACCATCAAGGGATTCGAAATCCACACACTTAACATATATACACTCTTCGTATTCGTTCTTCTTGATCTCCATGAGTCCCTGACTTTACTATCGGAGGGGTTTCCGACCAAACCCCGGTCGGGCAGCCTCACGGTTTGTTACTTTGTGCAGATCTTCAATTCCTAGATCACATTGTTCATCCACGAAGTTCAATCCTTCTTCATAGTGCGGAAATCACCCCCGCACAATTGGCGTCGTTTGTGGGAAAACCACTGTTTGCTTCGTGACAAACTCCGGCGATGGGAATCGAAAATACACCCCACTCTGGGCTAGCAGAGAGGACTTCAATGACGGAGAGAACCAAAGATAAGGGTCTGGAATTCCCTAGAGGGCACGATGACCTTATGGACCACGACGATCAGACATCCAACGTGGCGGAGCGACACTGTGTCATTGCCGTTGAGACGTCTTAACGTCTTTTTGTTGAGAAAGACCACCGTGACCGCATCATCGACTCAATGGGTTTGGAGATCACTGAGCTTTGCACCCAATTGATGAAGTTCATGGCGACCCTAGCAAAGCCAAGAAAATCCGTTGGTGGACCATCACAAAGGAGACGTACCCCTCCTTCCCCCCCCCACCTCACAAAGAGCACTACAGTCGTGGCCCTACTGGTAGAGAGTGTAGCCGGCCGATTCCGGTACGTAGTGAAGGGGCCAGCAATAGGGCGGATAACCTCGAAAAAAATAACCCACGAGAAGATTCTCATAAAAGGTAGAGGACTATCAGCCGCCTATCTGAAACCTTTTATTGTCGCCGCGTCGAGCGGCCGCACGACTTGAGAAGTTGGTTGAACGATAACAGAGAAGAGGCATGACGGCTATGCAGAGGAGGAACGTCAGCTCAATAGGGAAAGGGACCAGTTGGACCAGTCCATACACCAACAAAAGCGTCGCGCTCTAGACCGGTTGGTGTCCACCCCCTTCTCCCCAGAGATAGAAGCTGTAGAACCTCTACAGAAGTATAGCCCACTGAAATTCATTCTCTATGATGAGAAGATGGACCCTCTGACTCACATTAGCCATTACCGCCAGATGATGTCCCTCTGGAACCGCAACGACGCACTCATGTGTAAAGTCTTCCCTTCTAGCCTAAGAGAACTTGGCCTTCGATAGTTTGACAAACTCCCTAGTGGTTCGATTTATGACTGGACGCAGCTCTCTGAGGCGTTCTTAGCCCGATTTGTCTCCAACAGCAGAGTCCCGAAGCAGTTAGGTACCTTGTTTAATATCCGAAAGGACAGGAAAGAGACCCTACGCCAGTACACGCGACGGTATTGAGAGGAATATGGCGACTTGGAGGAAAATGTTTGCAATGAACAATTGGCCGTGCTATACTCTTTTATTGTCGCCGCGTCGAGCGGCCGCATGACTTGAGAAGTTGGTTGAACGATAACAGAGAAGAGGCATGACGGCTATGCAGGGAAGGAGAACATCGATGAGATGGGGAGGAGGAACGTCAGCTCAATAGGGAAAGGGACTAGTTGGACCAGTCCATACACCAACAAAAGCGTCGCGCTCTAGACCGGTTGGTGTCCACTCCCTTCTCCCCAGAGATAGAAGCTGTAGAACCTCTACAGAAGTATAGCCCACTGAAATTCATTCTCTATGATGAGAAGATAGACCCTCTGACTCACATTAGCCATTACCGCCAGATGATGTCCCTCTGGAACCGCAACAACGCACTCATGTGTGAAGTCTTCCCTTCTAGCCTAAGAGAACTTGGCCTTCGATAGTTTGACAAACTCCCTAGTGGTTCGATTTATGACTGGACGCAGCTCTCTGAGGCGTTCTTAGCCCGATTTGTCTCCAACAGCAGAGTCCCGAAGCAGTTAGGTACCTTGTTTAATATCCGAAAGGACAGGAAAGAGACCCTACGCCAGTACACGCGACGGTATTGAGAGGAATATGGCGACTTGGAGGAAAATGTTTGCAATGAACAATTGGCCGTGTTATACTTCAAGCAAGGTCTACCTTCTTCGCACAAGCTAAGGCATTCGTTGACGAAACGACCTGCCCTACCATGAAGGATTTGAGGGCTCGAATAGAGCAACAAGCTTGTGTGGAAGATGACGCTGCTTCAGTACATGTTGCGGTTGCTGAAGAAGTCAGACCGCCTCGACCACCTAGGACTGAGCAGCCAAAGAGGGATGAGCAGCGGAAGAACTATAGCCAAAAGAACCGCTCCACAGTGGAAAACGAAGAGAAAAGGGCCGAGTCTTATGAAGGCATCACTACCGTCTTCAAAGAGCCAATATACAGGCTCGTCGAGAAACTTAAAGGGGAAGCTTTCTTTGTCTGGCCAGCTAAGATGCCTGGAGACCTTGCTCGGCTCAATCAGACACTGCGTTGCACCTATCATCGAGAGAAGGGACACAAGACGCAAAATTACAGAGCTCTCAAACAACACTTGGAGGACTTAGTTACGGCGGGACACCTCCAACAATGGATAGACGTTGATAAGATAAGGAAAAAACAAGGACTAGACCAAGCCCCTCCTGAAGAGAACCATGCCCCGAGGTTGGTCATCAACGTTATCCATGGAACAACTGACCCCGAAAAAGAAAACACCATTCGAGGAGAAATCCAACGAGCCACCCACATTCAACAGGTAATGTCGGTAGGACCTCCTCCCAAAAAGTCCAAGATAGAAGCCAGACCTTCTCGGTTTAACGTTGTGTTCACCGAGAAAGACCTAAAGAGGATCCAACACCCCCACACCAATGCCCTCATCGTTACAGTTGGTGTGGCCAACAAGTTCAATGTGAAGCGAGTCTTGATTGACCAAGGGAGTGCCGCAAACATCATGTATTATGAGCTTTTCAAGAAGCTTGGCCTCAGTGAGCAACACCTGACACCTGCCATCTCCCCTTTAGTTGGCTTCAACTCGCAAATAGAATGGTCGCTCGGCCGAATAACTCTGCCTGTCATAACGAAGTCCAAGGTGGTCTCTGTTGACTTCTTGGTAGTAAACACCCCATCTCCCTACAACGTCATCCTTGGTCGACCTTGGATTCACCAGATTGAGGCAGTCCCTTCCACCTATCACCAACTCGTTCGCTTTCCAACCAAGTATGGAGTAGAGGAGATTCGCGGAGACCAAGTGGCAGCCAAACACTGCTTCATTGCTGCCATGAAAACCAAACAAGTTTGCGACCAATTACAGATGGTAGAAGTACCTGACCAGCCAGTTTTGGAAGACGTCGGCAGAGTGCCAACTAAGAAGATGGTAGAAGACCTAGAAACGGTCTTGGTAGAAGAAGGAAACCCAAACAAGTTCTTCCTGCTCGGTACTTCCCTC